GAGAAAATGGAGTATATGATGGGAAGGTCTCATAAAATGGGGAGAGAGAGAGAGAGAGAGTGGATTGTCCACAATAAATAGAGATACTGAGATTACATAGATGGATATGTAGTGGAGTCTCCTCACGCCCAAGAAACAGAGAAAGAGACAGACAGGAGAGCATCCCTTCCCTCCTGCTGGGCTAGGTTGAGAGGCGTGGGTCCCATACTCTCCCCCACCTACCCACCCACCCTCCACAACACCCTCTGCCGGCTGCTGCCTCCCTCCTCTCCTTCTTCTTCTTCTTCTAAAATTCTCTCTCTCTCTCTCTCTCTCTCCCCACTCCTCATCCCACCAAGTTTTTAGCACGCCTACCAACATGCATGCTTCCATCACACACCCCAACCTTAACCCACTTCCATATTCATAATGCTTCAAATGCTATCTCTACAAATTCTAAAAGTTTTTATGAAAAATTTTGTTCAACAAAAATATTTTCTTAAAATATTACTCTTTTTTAAGAAATTATTTTATATTATTGGACAAACTTGCATCACATATCACATGACACACTCACAGTTAATCCAAACAAGACCGTAAGTAAGGGTCACATTGGCTTAAGCTAGATTGGCCCTAAAAGGCCTGCTCAATGTAAAGCCGAAAATCTTAAGTTAAAGTCCTGTCCAACAAGTTAACAAGTTGACCCCCCTTATTTATTGCTAGCTCAGCTGATTCCATACCTCTATTTTTCATTTCAATTTAAGGTGATCATAGTATCACCACTCAATTTATTACTTTCACACCCAAACAAAGAACTTGGAATAAAAAGAGAAAAAATGTTTTTACATAAATCATTTATCATATAATATATAAATAAAATTATATCTTTTTTGACTTACTTGAAAAGTCACCATGTGTCATTTTTAGTAGCATTTTAATTGAAAGTATAAATTATATTTTAAAATAATCTTTTATAGGAGTTTTTTTTTATTCAACTCCAGAGTCAATATATTTTATTTGTTTAAAGACAACTAAAATATACTTGCTAGTTGAAGTACAACCATCATCGCTACCAATGACCATCGGTTACCATTGCTAGCGACCACCTCTCTCTGATCACCATTGTCGTCCATTGATAAAAAATTTTCGGTGAGTATCGTCGGTTGTCGGTGATCATTTTTCTAAAGCTCTCCAATGAATTGAAATTTCTCGATGACCATTTCAGGTAACTCTCCAGCAAAGTGAAATTTTATTGTTTCTAAAACCAAAATAAAAAAATAAAATAAAATAAAATCAATTAATAGATAAAATTTACAAAATTGGAAGACAGTGAAATTTCACTATGTTAAGTCAATAAGAATTTAAGTGCTAGCACACACAAAATTCTCTGAGCAAAGTCAATGAAACTTCACTAACCCTTTCATTAACCCAAGTTAGTAAAATTGCATGAAATCAGTGAAGTTTTAATGACTTTTGTCAAAGAAATTTTATTGATCAAAGTTCATGAAACTGTACGAGTCAATCAAATTTTACTGACTAATTCAAGCAAATAAAATAAAAATTAAAAAGTCAATGGTTCACTGATAAACAACATATCAAATAACACAAATAAATCTCAATCAATCAACAATATACAGATTAAATAGAACGGCAGTAGGTATAGAAGAATATATTCCTAATTTCTCCTTTATTATACTTTCACAATTTCTCATTTATTGAAATATTATATTTAATTATTTATATCACATTTATAATTTTTTAACACATAGAAAACTAGTAAATAATGTATTTCTAAATTATGTTGGTGTCATTAACACAATGTTTCAGTTTACACGAAAAGTTTGATGCAGAGAATGTACTAAATCATCATTATTACGAAAGAATTGGGTGGGGTGGGGATGGCAGTTCTTTATACACGTGTAAGTTGTGGGTAACAAACAACCCTAGGAGCCAGATGGGATAGGGAAGATTTTGTCTTCCAAAGTGGATATTCCATCTAAGTTGTTCCATTGAAATTTATACACATAATTACATATGATAGGCAAGATATAAATTTTAAAATTAAAAATTAAAAAAAAAAATCAAAACAAAACAAAACAAAACATGTGAGGTTGAAAAGGAATTGTGACATTGACTATTGAAGTTAGTCTATAGTTATAATTATATCTTCTTAATTTTTTTTTCTTAGAGAAGAAAATAAATGGAGTAGCATAAATAATGTCTCTATAGGTGAGGAACGATGAGTGAGAAGACATTAGCACACTAATTTTCACTTATTGTGGAAAGATAAAAATAGACTTAAACTTTTAATATTCTTTTGTCCTTCAAACATTAGTGTTTAGAGGGGCAAGAGGTTCATGGTCGAAGGTGGCAAAGTTGCCGGGGATGGGAAGGAAAAATTGTAAGCGATAGTAATAGTAATGATGGCTGGTGGAGATAAGGTTTAAATTGTAATTAAAAAAAGAAAAAATTGTGAATGTAAGAGGGTGGCGTAAATAGAAATATTATTATTTTTTTGTTCAATTGTTAACATGAGACTAACTTAGCCCATTGGTTCATGTGAGACGGCTTGTCAGTCTGCTCTCAAGTCTGTTTAGATCAAGCTTTTTGAATAATAGCTTGTAAAAAAAAGTTCATTGAGCTTAACACGAGCAGACTTAAACACTATTTTTCTGGCATGGCCCAATGTTGAGACCAAGATTTGTAGATGGAAAATATTACATAAATTAATAAATTTTATGTATTTTCCTTATTAATTGATGTGATATATAATATTAAAATTTTAAAATTTGATGCGACTCATTTTAATAATATGATAGGTGCCATGGCAATGAATTAAAAGAAATTGCAAGATTTGTTGACTTATATAATAATTAAATATTTATCCACTTTTCAAATCAAATAGAATAAAATATTAAGGTTATAACATTTTGATAACATTTAATATAACATCTTACATGACACTAATCATATTATTTAAAAGGTCTTACCCACATACACATATGATAGAGGTGGGCGAGGGTAGGTTGCCGCTACGGAACCTTTAATCCACCATCCATTCGCCAATCCGGCGGATGCAAATTGAGCGGATTGGTGGATGGATGCGAATCGGATTGGCGGTTTAAAATTTTATAAAACAATAGTATTACCACAAAACAAACAACCTGGGCAGTGAAGTATATGATACAAGTAATAGTAAATATCCTATCCTCAACATTGTCCATTCATTTCCACTGATTTTGAGCACAAATTGTCAACATTGTCCACTTATAGGATATTTATACATATCCATAATTCTCTTTATAACCACTTCGTCAGGGTACATATCATTATTAAAGGTCCTATTATTTCTAGCAAGCTATAACTGGTAGACAGCGCAAGTAAACACAAGTTTAGAAATAATAGCACCAATAGATTTACCCTTAACATATTTTGAAATATGTTCCACCAACTCATTCCACTGAAGACAGGGCTAGGATACATTAATCATATTCTTTAACTTACTCCAAACTTTATCAAAGAAAGGACAATGGAAAAACAGATGATTATGATACTCATAATGGTTATGGCAAAGAACACAATTAACATTCTGGGATAACCCAAACAAACACAACTTGCCCCCACTGTTGAGTCTACACTGGATAACCATCCATTGCAAATTGAATAAGAAGTCTAACAAGTCCAATAAACAGTGTAATAACAAGTCCAATATAGAGTGTAATAACTAACCATTGCAAAATGAATAATGTTAGACTTATTTATTTTGATGATTTATTTAATTATGTTTTAATTTATTTGAAAGAGAAAAATAGAATCAAAATTTATTTTGTCCCATTATTTCTCACCTAAACTTTTATCCTAAATATTGTTTGAATGTATTTAATATTTGCTTAAATCAGGAATTCATTTCAACCCAAAAATAATGCCCAAACTAGAGGTTCAAACAGCCCAAAACAAAGATTCAAACAACCCAGCACAGCAGCAGACCAAAAGGTTCAAACAACCCAACACATCAGCAGGCCAAAAGGTTCAAGTGGAAGTTATCCAAATTAGTAGTGATGGCATGGAAGATATTCGAATGAATACAACGGCTATAAACAACTATAAATTCAAATGAATACAACGATTATAAATGGCTATAAATTCTAGAAGTTTCATTATATATACCAAAGCTTCTAATGTAAACAAGTTACAAAAAAAAAAAACAAAAAATATTCTTTGATCTATAATCACTCACATCTATTCTCTAAAAAAACCTCTGAAAAGTATTATACAATTTTTGTTTACATCCTCTTTCAGAAATTATACACCGAGACATATACCTTTAAGCCCATCTTTCCTATGTAAGGTTTACAGAAAAACCAGAGTTTCATTTTTATATCTATGTTTAAGAGATAATTCTTGTAACTTTCTGTGAAAGCAAAAATACCTTCTTTTCAACTTTGTAAGAGTGTAGTACACTCAGTGTTCTTGACTTAGAAAGTCTGTGTAAAATCCGTAAAGGATTGCTCCGTCTGTGAAAAGGTTGCTAGCACCCTGTGAAGCTAGAGAATAGTGAAAAATCTCAAGTGAAGTTTGAGGAGTGGACGTAGGCCGAGTTGAAACCGAACCACTATAAATTTGTTTGTCTCTCTCTCCCTTATCTCTTTATTTTATTTAAATTGCCATAGCTATATTTCATATTTTTATTGTGCTAAAATCATTAATTGACATAGTTGTTAGAACACTTGTTTTAATTATTTTTATTCATAAACTATATTTATCTATTGTACTAGTCATAATTTTTATTAGGGTACCATTATTTTTATTTGTAAAAACCTAATTCACCCCCTTCTTAGGTTGTCTTTTGGGTAACAATTTGTCACGACCCAAACCCGCCCCTATGGGTTTAGTATCGCAACCGGCCAGTAATCCGTGATTACCGAAGGCCTGCTTAACAGTAATGACAGTAATACAGAGTAAAGGGGCTGGCGGAAGCCAAAATAGTAAATAAAAGATGTCCAATGAGCTGTGACAATCTGTATGCAAAAGACTTTTTATAAACATGCCACATTGATAACCAAAACATATGTACATGCGCCATATACACAAACATCCATGTCAGGGGCCAAATCCCTACCTAAAACAGTACAGTCAAGTCTCAAACATTTATTACAGATCAGAGACGAAAGGGTGAAATTGAGACACCCCAAAACAACCGTGGTTTGAACGGACTCGGATCCTCGAAGTGAGGCATGGTGGTTGGCTTGACAAAACAAGAGCTTAACTTGACGTTTCTAGCATCGGTCTGGTGCCTGGACATCTACATATAGATATAAACAGTGAGCTAAAACCCAGTGAATAACATATGCGTAAAGGGGTTAAGAATGAATGTCCTTTCAGTAATTAAAATAGTCAATTGCATCAGTAAATCAGTCATTTAGAACCATAGTAGTCATATGTGGTACATCCAATAGCAAAACAGTACAGTAGGTCGTAACAGACCGAACAGTCAGTTGATGGCCATCAAACAGTAAACAGTAGTGGTCCCAACATTGGAACCGACAGAGATCTCTGTAACAGTAGTAGTAGCAGTAGTAGTAACAGTAACAGTAGGTTGCTATGGATGCCACGAGTACAGTTTACAAATAGAACAAACATTCATTCATTAAATAATAGCATTTCAGTAAGCAGTACAGTTGATCATTCAGAAAATAATCATAATTGAACATATCTTTACAACATTGTTACTCATAGAGTACTGGGCTACAGACAGGCTAATGAGCGTCCTCGGATGCCAACCCTACAGTTGCAGAACGAACACACACTCGGGATTAATAACTTAGCCCCTAATTATACTGGCGTGGTTCTATAACATTATCCTCATTAAGATGCCTTAAACATGGCCTAGGAATGCCTAGGATGGAATAAGGATGCAAAAATGTACTTCAAAACACTTTTCAAATTTTTGCTGAAATAGGGGTCTCGCTCAAGCGTGGCTTTCTATGCTCGAGCGAGCTTACCAAAACCGAGGGGTCGCTCGAGCGGTCTGCAAAAATGCAAAAAGTGCTGGATGTTGAAAATCCCCGCTCGATGCTCACTCGAGCGTGAGACACAGCTCTTAGCTCGAGCGTGCGTCTGCGTGCACCAAAAATCTAAGAGCTTGCAATCTACGCTCGAGCTAGCATTCCTTCGCTCAAGCGGAGCTCTGAACAAAAGATGGTCGCTCGAGCGTGGAATCCTTTACTCGAGCGTAGAAGCCAAAATCTGGAATTTCCAGATTTGCCTCCCAAGCTCAAACCAAGCATTCAACACATCAAAACTCAACCTTTTGGGCCCATTTTCTAGAAAACACTTGAAAACTCATACTATAACATGTTTTGAAGATCAATTTTGTAAAATCAAGCCCAAAGGTGAGACAATTGCACACAATTTCAAAGAAACTTTCATGAACAAAACAAGAACATAACATGCATGAGTTCTTATGAATTCCAATGCTCCAAAACATGACCAAATGCAAGATTGAGCTCAAAATCAAGGTGAATTCATGGACTACAACCAAAATGTGGACATGCATGTAAGAATTTTTCATGAAAACAACCTCAAAATACAAGAACATGTACATGCATGCATGAATTAGCTCACAATTCAACTCTTCAATTTAATTCTTGACTTTAAACTCCAAATTTCCATGAACTAGGCATGTAACAACTTAAATTCACAAGTAAGAAGATGAATTCCTACCTTAGGTCTTGAGTTCTAGGTATGGAAGCTCAAATTTGCAAAACCTCTTTAATTCCTCTAAGTTCAAGCAAAAACCTTCTTGATGAACTCAATTTCTCACTCTCGCTTTCTCACTTGGTTTGGTCTAGAGGATAAGCAAAATGATGCATCAAATATGAATAAGGCATAATGAGGGTGGGTTTTTGAGTCAAACCACTCAATGGCAAAAAGGTAATAAACCTTGGTTCAATTAATTTAACAATAATACTAATTTAATCATTCCAAATTGAATTCTAATTAAACCTACCATAAAATCACATAAATCCTAATTAGCATAAAATACTAATCAATTTCTGATTCGGTCGCCGATAAGACCTTCAATTCACAGTTCAAAACTTAAAACATGAACATATCAATTAATGGTAAACAAATAGAGATGCAATTAAAGCAACATACACATGCATTCAGTTCAGAATTTCAGTTTGATCAATTACTTATCATGCTTAATCACAGTTTAATACTAATCAGAGGTGAGAGTTATCACACAATTGGTATCTTTTGTTTTAGATTTAACCATCTGGGAGTTTCGATCCATGGTAACCTTAGCTGAATGACAAGCCACAAATAGGTCACCATTGTTTGACGGAAACAACTATAGTCATTGGAAGGATAAGATGACCTTATCCCTAGAAGCCATTGATTATGTCATGTGGATTATTGTCACCAAAGGTCCAAAAATTTCTACCAAATTAGTAGACAATATTAGTGTACCTAAAATTGAAGATGAATGCGATGAGAGGGATCATAAATTATTGCAAGCCAATGCTAAAGCCAAACTCACCATTGTTTGTGGATTAGACTCTAAGGAGTATAATAGAATTTCAAGTTGTGATTCGGCATAATAAATTTGGGACAAACTTGAGGCAATGTATGAAGGTACAAACCAAGTGAAGGAATCTCGTATTGATATGCTTGTTTATAGTTATGAATTGTTTAAAATGAACTCTGATGAATCTATTTCAAGTATGTTTACTAGATTTACTGAAATTGTAAACTCTTTGAAATCTCTTGGCAAAACTTATACTAACAGTGAGTTGGTGAGAAAAATTCTTAGGTGTTTACCGAAGAATTGAGAAACAAAGGTCACGGCCATTATAGAAGCCAAAAATCCCTCCACACTTGGATTGGATGAGCTTATGGGTTCCCTTATGACTCATGAGATCATCATGAAAGGACATGAGGATGTTGAAAACAAAAAGAAAAGTGGAATTGCATTTAAAGCCTTATCAAATGAATAAGAACATAAAAAACTCCAGTGATAATGAAAGCTATGCTATGTTTAGTAGAAATCTCAAAAAACACTTCAAGAAAAACAATTATAGAGAAAGAAGACCTTTCAAGAAAGAGTACAACAAAGATAACAAGAAAGAGCCTATTATTTGCTATGAGTGCAAAAATCGTAGACATATTAAGATGGATTGTCCAAAATTGAAGAATCATGGAAAAGACTACAAAAGAAACAAAAAGGCTATGGTAGCAGCTTGGGGAGAAAGTGAAGATGAAAGCTCAAGTGATGAAATTAAAAATGAAGTAGCTAACTTATGTCTCATGGCTCTTGAAGATGAAGATTCTACTCAAGATGAGGTAACTACTCTTTATGAAGAACTTGAAAGTGCATTCTATGAAGTACAAGATGAATTTAGAAAAGTTTGTGCCAAAAATAATATGTTGAAGAAATCTGTTGCATCTTTATCTATTAATGTAGAAGAATTAAAGAAAGAAAAAATTGTTTTGAAAAATGATTTTGATACTATCTCTAATGAGAAAACTACTTTAAAAAACAATGTTGATAATTTAACAAAAACACTTGAAAATTTTGTAAAAAGTAGAGATAATCTCAACATGCTTCTTGGAAATCAAAGATGTGTTTTTGATAAAGCGGGTATTGGATATGACCCTATTAAGAAACAAAAGAATCTCAATACAATTTTTGAAAAGGCACCTCTCATGACACACCCTCATATTACTTGTCATTATTGTAGAAAGAAAGACCATTATATATCTTATTGTCCATTCAAAAAGAATATGAACATAGGAATTAAAAAATTTGGATTATTAAGGGATCTAACAAAACTAACCAAGAAGGACCCAAGAAACTATGGGTACCAAAAACCAATACTTGATTGTCATCTTGTAGGTTTGTTTTAAGTCCAAAGCTAAAGAAGGGAAGTGATACCTTGATAGTGGATGTTGCAGACAAATTCCTTTGTTTAGGCATTCAAATTAGTGATTTTGTCGCTTTAGGAAAGTTTCGTTTTGGGAATAACTTAATTTGGGAAGTCCATTTTTAACGCTGTCTGTTTTGGCGCATTTCTATTGTTTCCTAGTATGCAGATATGGACTTAACTCATATTTTCTATTTTTGGTAATTTTTCTGTTTATTTTCGTATCTAGTAAGGAATTATCCTAATTCTTTATTTCTTTATTTAATTAGGGTTCAGTTTATTATAAATACGCATGTATGCCTTAAGACAAATGATCTTTGATGTAATATAATTCAGTTCTTGATTTTTTTTTTTCTTTCTTGTAGATTTAAGGATTTTGTTTATCTATCAGAATGATATCTAATCTTGTGTGATTTGTTTTGCTGCGTCAGGGTAGACTGGTAAATTGGCATAATGTAACAGTTGAACAGGCAGCTTTATGCCAAAAAAAAAAAAAAAATCGAAACAAAACTAAAAATGAGAAAATTGAGGATATGATGGGAAGGTCTCATAAAATGGGGGGAGATAGAGAGAGAGAGAGTGGATTGTCCACAATAAATAGAGATACTGAGATTACATAGATGGATATGTAGTGGAGTCTCTGCACGCCCAAGAAATAGAGAAAGAGACAGAGACAGGAGAGCATCTCTTCCCTCCTGCTGGGCTAGGTTGAGGGGCGTGGGTCCCCATACTCTCCCCCACCTACCCACCAACCCTCCACAACACCCTTTGCCGGCTGCTGCCCCTTCTTTGTCTTCTTCTTCTTCTTCTTCTAAAATTTTCTCTCTCTCTCTCTCTCTCTCCTCTCCTCCCACCAAGTTTTTTTTAGCACGCCTACTAACATGCATGCTTGCATCACACACCCCAACCTTAACCTACTTCCATATTCATAATGCTTCAAATGCTATCTCTACAAATTCTAAAAGCTTTTATGAAAAATTTTGTTCAACAAAAGTATTTTCTTAAAATATTGCTCTTTTTTAAAAAATTATTTTATATTATTGGACAAACTTGCATCACATATCTTATGACACACTCACAGTTAATCCAAACAAGGCCATAAGTAAGGGTCACATTGGCTTAAGCTAGATTGACCCTAAAAAATGGTGCCTTAAGTCCGGCAGACTTTTTCAAAAAGGCTTGCTCAATGTAAAGCTGAAAATCTTAGTTCAAGTCCTGTCTAACAGGTTAACGAGTTGAAATTTATTTTTGAATTTTTCCCCCCTCTATTTTTTGCTAGCTCAATTGATTTCATACCTCTATTTATCATTTCAATTTAAGGTGATCATAGTATCACAACTCAAATTAAGGTGAGTATCGTCGGTGATCATTTTTCTAAGGCTCTCCAATGAAGTGAAATTTCTCGACGACCATTTCAGGTTACTCTCCGGCAAAGTGAAATTTTACTGTTTCTAAAACCAAAAAAAAAAAAAAATCAATTAATAGATAAAATTTACAAAATTGGAAGACAGTGAAATTTCACTATGTTAAGTCAATAAAAATTTAAGTGCTAGCACACACAAAATTCTCTGAGCAAAGTCAATATATTTCACTAACCCAACTTAGTAAAATTGCATGAAATCAGTGAAGTTTTAATGACTTTTGTCAAAGAAATTTTATTGATCAAAGTTCAAGAAATTGTACGGGTCAATCAAATTTTATTGACTAATTCAAGAAAAGAAAATAAAAATTAAAAAGTCAATGGTTCACTGATAAACAACATATAAAATAACACAAACAAATCTCAATCAATCAACAATATACAGATTAAATAGAATGGCAGTAGATATAGAAGAATATATTCCTAATTTCTCCTTTATTATACTTTCACAATTTCTCATGTATTAAAATATTATATTTAATTATTTATATCATATTTATAATTTTTTAACACATAGAAAACTAGTAAATAATGTATTTCTAAATTATGTTGGTGTCATTAACACAATGTTTCAGTTTACATGAAAAGTTAGATGCAGAGAATGTACTAAATCATCATTATTACGAAAGAATTGGGTGGGGGTGGGGATGGGGATGGCAGTTCTTTATACACGTGTAAGTTGTGGGTAACAAACAACCCTAGGAGCCAGATGGGATAGGGAAGATTTTGTCTTCCAAAGTGGATATTCCATCTAAGTTGTTCCATTGAAATTTATACACATAATTACATATGATAGGCAAGATATAAATTTAAAAAAAAAACAAAACCATGTGAGGTTAAAAAGGAATTGTGACATTGACTATTGAAGTTAGTCTATAGTTATAATTATATCTTCTTAATTTTTTTTTTCTTAGAGAAGAAAATAAATGGAGTAGCATAAATATTGTCTCTATAGATGAGGAACGATAAGTGATAAGACATTAGCATACTATTTTCACTTATCGTGGAAAGATAAAAACAGACTTAAACTTTTAATATTCTTTTGTCCTTCAAACATTAGTGTTTAGAGGGGCAAGAGGTTCATGGCCGAAGGTGGCAAAGTCGCCGGGGATGGGAAGGAAAAATCGTAAGTGATAGTAATAATGATGATGGCTGGTGGAGATAAGGGTAAAATTGTAATTAAAAAAAGGAAAAATTGTGAATGTAAGAGGGTGGCGTAAATAGAATTATTATTATTTTTTATTCAATTGTTAACATGAGACTAACTTAGCCCATTGGTTCATGTGAGGCGGCTTGTCAGTCCGCTCTCAAGTCTGTTTAGATCAAGTTTTTTGAATAATAGCTTGTAAAAAAAAAGTTCATTGAGCTTAACACGAGCAGACTTAAACACCATTTTTCTGGCATGGTCCAATGTTGAGACCAAGATTTGTAGATGGAAAATATTACATAAATTAATAAATTTTATATATTTTCCTTATTAATTGATGTGACATATAATATTAAAATTTTAAAATTTGATGCGACTCATTTTAATAATATGATAGGTGCGATGGCAATGAATTAAAAGAAATTGCAAGATTTGTTGACTTATATAATAATTAAATATGTATCCACTTTTCAAATCAAATAGAAAAAAATATTAAGGTTATAATATTTTGATAACATTTAATATAACATCTTACATGACACTAATCATATCATTTAAAAGGTCTTACCCACATACACATATGATAAGGGTGGGCGAGGGTAGGTTGCGGCTACGGAACATTCAATCCGCCATCCGTCTACTGGATTTGAGAAAATCAAACTGTATCCATTCGCCAATCCGGCGGATGTGGATTGAGCGAATTGGCGGATGGATGCGAATCGGGTTGGCGATTTAAAATTTTATAAATTTTCAACATAATTTAATTATGCATTTCCTCAAACAAAAAAAATAAATAAATAAAATTGTGCACTTCCTTCCTCGACATTGTGCATGCACTGCCAAATATATTACAATTTACAACAAACATTGTGCATCCAAAACAATAGTATTACAACAAAACAAACAACCTGGGCAGTGAAGTATATGATACAAGTAATAGTAAATATCCTATCCTCAACATTGTCCATTCATTTCCACTAATTTTGAGCACAAATTGTCAACATTGTCCACTGATAGGATATTTATACATATCCACAATTCTCTTAATAACCAATTCTTCAGGGTACATATCATTATTAAAGGTCCTATTATTTCTAGCAAGCCACAACTGGTAGACAGCGCAAGTAAACACAAGTTTAGAAATAATAGCACCAATAGATTTACCCTTAACATATTTTGAAATATGTTCCACCAACTCATTCCACTGAAGACAGGGCTAGGATATATTAATCATATTCTTTAACTTACTCCAAACTTTATCAAAGAAAGGACAATGGAAAAACAGATGATTATGATACTCATAATGGTTATGGCAAAGAACACAATTAACATTCTGGGATAACCCAAACAGACACAACTTGCCCCCAGTGTTGAGTCTACACTGGATAGCCATCCATTGCAAATTGAATACGAAGTCTAACAAGTCCAATATAGAGTGTAATAACAAGTCCAATATAGAGTGTAATAACTAGCCATTGCAAAATTAATAACAAGTCCAACAAGTCCAATACAGTGTAATAACAAGTCCAATATATAGTGTAATAACAAGTCCAACAAGTCCACATTTACTTTTTTTCACCTTTGGATGCAAATTAATCTAATATTTTTTTCTATGAAGTTCCTTACAAAATCCATTGCAGATAACAAGAAAAAGAAACCAAACCTCTATGTAAGCTTTCTCTCTGTGTGTATAGAACCCTCACACTCTGTGTGTTTAGAATTGGAACAAAAAAAAAAAAAAAAGATTAGACTCTAAAAGAGAGGTCTACGAACTGTATCCGGAAAAAAAAAAGAACAAGTTATAGATTTAGGAAAAGAAGAGGAAAGAAGAAGATAAATTAGAGGTTTTCGAACTGGAACAAAAAAAAAAGATTAGAGATTGAGGAGAAGAAGAGGAAAGAAGAAGAGAAAATAGAGGTTTTTATTTTCGAACTGGAACAAAACAAAAAACAAATAAAATTTTTAAAAAAAAACAGAATAGATTACATCGCCGATTGCCGATTGCCTTTCGTTTTCGAACTGGAACAACATAGAACAGATTGAGGAGAAGAACAGAAAAAGAAGAAAGCAGAGAAGGAAAAGAGAAAAGAAGAAGATGAAAGAAGAAGAGAAGAGAATATCTCACCTCGATCCCCAATCGCCTTTCAGTGTGTCACTCGTTGTTGGTTGGATGATGAAGAAGATTGTTGTCGCCGTCGTCGGTAGATGGGTAGGGTTTTTTTTTGGGGGGGGGGGGGGGGGAGAGAGAGAGAGAGAGAGCCTATCAAAGAAAAAGGTTGAGAAAGAGAGAGAGTGTGTCTCTATCTCTTCTGATAGGTGTAAATAATATATTAAAAAAAATTGAGAGTGGCGGACGGGTCAGGGTGAAATGGCGGATCAACCGCAACCCAACCTGAACCCGTGAAAAGGTAGAAGAATCCTAGCCCACATCCGCCCGCCACGTGTCACGCATCCATCCATATGTGGTGGGATCGGATCGGATCGGGCAAATTTGGAGGGTTGGTGGATTCGCTGCACAACTCTAACATATAATGCTCTTCTAAACGTGGAACGTTATATCTCTTCCACTAGTGGAGCCTATTAAATTTAAAAGAACCATTATGCTTGTACATATAAGTGGATTTATGAGTCGGCATTAGGTTAGGTCGACCCATGAATCAAAATTATAGGCCCAAGCCATATCCAATAGACTTAGTCTTGACAGACTGAGTTGTGTGCTTAACCAATAAATTAAGACTAAGTTATATATTTTATGAGTTATTATTTTTTTTAAAAAAATATTTTCTCCTATTGTTTCATTTTTTCCATCTAATTTAGTATAAATTTTTTAAAATTTTGAAAAAAAAATTCTAACAGAAAATTGTTAAAAAAATAATTATCAAATCCCCTCTTAATATGCAAATGTTGTCACTAGAGTAGAAATGGTAATACTAATACAAAATGAGTTACAAAATGATTATAAAAAAATGCATTCAAAGGCTTAAGATTAAAACTTAATTATGAAGAACTTCACGTTGAAAATAAATTTTATCTATTATATTTTTTTTATGATTGATTCTAGTTTTTTTTTTTAACTTTTTTTTTTATATTCTTAAAAAAATAAAAAATAAAAAATAAAGAGTAGCGAAGAGCCTATGCGTCGTACATGTCACGCGCTCCACTTACTCTTATTATTAATTTTAATAATAATAATTTCTCGGTCATTAATAATTTCCACCCATTTGCAAATGCCAAATCCAACAGTCTCTGCGCATGCTATCCTTAAACATGCTTCCATAACAACCATCACTCTCTCTCTCTTTCTCTCTCTCGCTCTCCTCCCTATTTCAAAAGCCAACATCTATCTATTCTATACTTGGCTCAACTAAATTATTCAAAAAAAAAACTAAAATAAAAAATACTGTCTCTCATGCATGCAAGGACAGTACTAGTGTTGTGTTTAATAGGGGTGAGCATGGTCCGGATTGGATCGGATTGGGATAAAATCAGGACCAATCCATTTTCTACGGTTCCTAAAATATTGGAACCAATCTAATCCGTTTAAATCATACAACCAATCCGAACCAATCCATTTAAATACGGATTGGATCGGTTTAGGACCACGGATTCACATAATTAAATAACCAAAATATATTTATAACACTTTAATTTTATAAAAATATAAACATAGCGCTATATTAGTTCCACAATAGCAACATATTTTTCTATAATAGCGATATACTGTTCTAAAATTTAAACAACCATAAGAAAATTGGTTTCACTATAAGTATTTAAACTATTACAAATTAAAACTAAAAACCAACAAACAAGAGTAATAAAAGAAGATATTATACGGTTTTAGGTTTGAGTTTAGATTTTATATAGAATTAAGAGAAGATACTATGGGGGAGGATGTATAATAAAAATATAGATTATTTATATACGGTTCGGATCGGTTCCAATCCGGAACCGTAGGGTTCAATCCGGAACCAATCCGTAGACTACGGATTTTTAATTCTTCAATCCGGAACCGAACCGCAGATTCAAAAAATCAATCCAAACCTATCGGATTGGACTGGACTGGATCGGATTACGGATTTCACGGATCGCTTGCTCAGCCCTATGTTTGAAGTTAGGTATGTTGTGAATTGAGCCAAAAGTCTCACATAAAACTGGTGACTATGTCGGTAACCCAAATTTATCATAATAAGTTTATAAGCACAAAATTAATTATAAAATTAATCATATAAAACAATTTGAATTATACATATTAGATGGTAAAACTTATTATAAAAGTTATAATTTCATTTAAATTGTTTTACTTATATTTGATAGGGTAAATTACACTGGTCATTTTTAAAAGAGAAAATTAATCTAAAGTCCTTATTCCATTTTTAATAATGAAAAAGATTGACAATATTATTTTGTGATATTTAAAGTCCCTCAACCTCAACACCCATATAACACAAAAAAGTTTTGATTTACATAATGCAGGTAACTAACTATGAACTGATCCTAGTAGACGGAACATTCGAGTTACTGAGGAAAACAAGCATGAATATGCTGATTTAGTTTCTGAGCATCGTTTGACTACTGCTATTCGTCCTCAAATAACTGCATTTTTGGAAGGATTTAATGAACTAATATCTCGTGATTTGATATCTATTTTTAATGATAAGGAACTAGAACTATTAATTAATGGGCTTTCGGATATAGACTATGAGTTTGCTTTTACTAAATTGATTATTTTTACTTTTCATTTCTCAATCCCAGGGAAATTAAGGGATACTTTTTTCTAATAATATCATTGTTTTTCAATGGACGACATGAGGGTGAATACGGAGAACTCTAGGAGTTGAGATCCCATATGGATTTTTGGTACTAAAGATATGCCTTAATTGAGGTTAAAGAAATTGGTGAATTTTGTTATATTGAAAATCTTTGAAATTGACTATGGCATACCGGTGGTATTTGTACTCTCTCCTATCTTAACCATCCTTCTACGGATGGCTCTGATATCCGTCCTCTCTTCTTTTATTAATTATTTGAACTTCATATTTCATATATATATATATATATGCATAATTTGTGTGTTGTTGATTTGAGTGATTCGTATATATATCATCATTATCAAGTTCATGGTGATGATGATATATATGTATGTATGTATATTCATATTCATCTTTTGGATTCATAAATTGAGTGTTGTTGTTGCTGATTTGGGTGTCCTTTATGCTACAACATCGATCTCTGAAATCTAGAGAATTTTTCTAAATTTTTAGATAATTTCTCTGGAAAGCCAGAAGAGAGATGAAGTGGAGGGTGGTGGTGGTGGTGGTGGTGGTGATGGGTTTTGAAGGAGTAGGTTCCAGAGAAATTCACTTCATCTTTTTCAATCTGAGCTCTATCTAATTTTGATAATTAGGGGCAAGTAATTAATTTTTGTATGGGGTTCGCTTCTAATCGACCTCAATTTCATAATTTTCTCTAAAATCCAGAGAATTTCTCTGGAAAGCCAGAGGAGAAAGATGAAGATGAGGGTGGTGGTAGTGGGCTTTGAAAGAGTGGTTTCACAGAAATTCACTTCATCTTTTTCAATCTAAGCTCTATCCAATTCCCAAATTTCTCTAAAGAGAAATTCTTTGAGAAGTCTAGAATTTCTCTGAAGAGTGGGAAGTCTAGAGAAATTTCTGGAGAGAATTTCTTTGGAGAGAATTTTTCTAGGAAGTCCAGAGAAATTCTTTGAATTGAATTTTTTCTAGATTGATATTGAGGGACCTTAGACATTATGAAAATATTAGATATCCTTTATGCTATAAAATCTTAATATCAGGGACCCTAAAAAAAAATTTCCCATTTAAAATTTAGAGAAAATACAATAAGTCTAACAATTTTAATATAAATACACTAACTTTTTTTTTTTGGTAAGGCTAAATAAATCGAAACTAATGCAAATAATGTAAAAACAAACAAACAAAGTAAAATATATATTGTCATATAAAAAAGATGATAATATTATTATTTTTTTCATCCATAAAACTATCAAATTATTAATGAAAATAGAACTAAATATTATGTAAATTAAAACGGGGATTCAATGTATTAACCAAAACTGTAGAATTTATTATATTTTTAGGTGTAATTTATCCTATTTTATATAGTTTTTCTAGTTAATTTTGTATCTAGAGACTTAATAAACTCATTTGTCGTCCTCACACACCATTTCAGTCGAATACCTGTCTTTGCGTTGGTGTTACTATATAAAGAGCTCTAGAGTTGGCAAATTTATTTATTTTTTGTTTTCACTTTGAACACTCCAAATAATCCCAATATTATCCGTCCACACCCTCAAGCTCCGACAATTTCTTCCCACTTCCGGCATCCTTCAACCAACCTTCCCATCACCGTCGTGAACTTCCTCACTCACCCCTCTACTCTGGTTAGCCTTTCCCAACCTCCGTCATCCCTCTAGTCAAACCCTCATCGTCGCTACTGCGAACCCCTCTTATTCCTCCTCCAAATCCAATTGAAATGCTTCAAAAGCACCATTTTGACATAAGGATTCGACCATATCATTATAGAATTGAGAATTACAATTAAAATATGTTTTTGTAAAACTAGGAGTAACATGTTGCAAAACATAGGGTGATTATGAAATAGAGGTGCCAATCCATGTCAATAAACTTAAAAGATAATATTCTCATACCATCATAATTGTTGTTAACCAGTAAGAAATTCAGAACTAAATAAGATTTGAATCAACTATATACATGGGCTTATGCTAAATGATATCGGCAACAATCACACCTTTACTGATATCATGGAAAACTTAAAAAAAAATGAAAAAAAAAAGAAAGATAAAAGAAAATGAGGGGGACTTTGTAGCAGCAGAGGTGGCGGTGAACATGAAGAAGACGTGGTGACGGCAATAGCGAAGGAGCAAGAGGTGTATGCAAGCAAATTTGGGTAAGCAAGTGGTTGGGAGGGGGTTTTGATGCTGCGGGTGGCAAGGGGAAGTGGTGGCCGGAGTTGAGAGGTAATAATAGGGTTAGAGGTTAGGGTTTTAAGTGATGTCTATTTTGGTAATCTAATTTAAGGATAGAATGGTATTTAAAAAAAAAGAAGATAAATGGGATGAGGCCTGCTATTAGCACCCCATAAATTATTTTGAACTATCTAATTTTTAGCTTTTTTTTTTATTACAATAATAACCTCAAATAAAATTATTACAAAGGATATCATTAATTTTGTGACATTTTATCTCACAATTAAACTTACACATCTACTACATCATGAATTAGGATTTATGAGAGCACCCACCTCCATCACCACCCATCCATCTTCCCTAAATCCCACGTTCAAAACCTACCTACGCCCTCAAAATCTTGAAAACACTTTGGCGGAAATATTCTGACAGTAACGGTGGCAACCATTTGATTACCTACACTTCTCTGGCAATGACAATGAGTAAAAATTTTTCTGGCAACTACAACTCCATAAGACGAGAGGAGTACAATAATAAAAGCTTATAGGAGGTTCATAGCTTTGATGTTGTTTTTAGCTCAGAGGAGATTGACCTTGTAAAGGTAAGTTTCTTGAAAAAAATGGCAAAAATAATAAAATATGTTTGTCATTTTTTCGGGACTGAACTTCCGAACATATGATCAAAATTATGGAACATAGACCTGGACATTGTTTATTTGTTCGGGAATCGGTAACCGAACATTTATTATTTGTTCGGAAACATGTAACTGAACATTATTCATAGGTTTGGACCTGTTTTACTGAGAAAACTAAACCAATTATTATAATTTTTTTTCTGCAAGAGAAGAAATTATTATGAGAAAACTAAGAAATTATGTGTATATATATGTATATACATAGAGAGAGAGAGAGAGAGAGCATAATGGTTGATGAGACAACAGAGACAGTAATCACATTGTCTATTCTTCTTCTTCTTCTTCTTCTTCGTGGACTTTGTTAGAGTTTTTTTAAAAGTGAGATTTTTTTGAGATGTAGGGATGTAGGGGTTGTGCATTCAATATGTGTAATATTTTTATAAAGATAATTTTGATATTATTTGAGAGAATTTTTTTTTAAAAATTTTTAAAATTTATAAGTAAAGATTTAAAAGAATTAAGAATTTAAAATAATTCATAAAAAACTAATAACACCACTCAAATGGAATACTCCTAATAAAAAGGCAATAACGAAAAGGATAAAACACACTTTAGTCCTTTATTATCAATTTTTTTACATCAATTTCTAATTTGAGAAGGTAAACTGAAAAGCCATAATAGTTGAGAGGGGCAGAGGATAATTTGGCCCTACGAAAACGACAGCACATGCACGCTGTCGTGACTTTACTCTTTCGCTCCTTTATAAATTATAACCGCTTCGATTCAACAGCAATTCATTTATACCGTGTTTAGTTGGGAAATTTAAAGAAAAATTTAAAAAATATATATATATATAAAAAATTAAATAAAATATAAATATATTTTATTCGCATTTCATTTAAATATTTTTTTTTTCTTTCTAAATCCCTCCTAAAATCCTGCTTAAATATTCTTTTTTTCCTTTCTAAATCCTCCTAAAATCCCGCCTAAAATAGGTTTCGGAGCATTTCTTTAGTACTCTCTGCTCTGCAATTACAATTAGTAACTTGTCTTCCCTTCTATCTATATATATATACGCACATACTTTGAGTGGTGGTCACCAATTTGGCATAGGCATGTCTATCCGATTCAAATTTAGAAGGTCCGTGAACTTCGACTCGGTTGACATCGAAGGTCGTTCTTCGATATCCGTTGGCGACCTCAGGTCTAAGATCGTCCTCCACAAGCACCTCAACATTTGCCAAGACTTTGATCTCGTCTTCTCCGATGCCCTCACCGGCCATGGTCTATTGCACTCTTTATATCTCAATCTGTATCCTAGTTGTGGATTTTGTTTACTTGTTTATCTACAACACGCTTGTTATCTCAATTTTACTTCAATTTGGCTGCTGCTGGGTTCTAATTTATTTACTTTATTTGGATTGAATTCAGAGTTCCATGACGAGAATTTTCAATCATTAAGAGAGTTCCTGCAGGATCTGTGCCTTCTGCTATGTAAGTTCCTTGCTTTTTTTTTATTTTTTAAATTTATTTTAAGCAAATCTTTAATTTCCATACAAGGAATAACTGATAATACAATTGTTTTATGACTTTGACAAGTAAGAATCTTGGAAACTACGAAAATGTGCTTTGATTGAAAACTTCATCAGTTAATAATAATGCACTGTCAGCTGATGTGTGCTCGACTTGATTTACCACAAGTAGAGAAGACCTGATCTGTTGATGTAGTTAATGGATCTTTTGATGTAGTTAATGGACTTCCATCATGGTTCATGCGCGAACATTCCTAATATTCTCAGAACCTGGTTCCGCACTTTAGGGAATTCACCCGAAGATTTTTGTTGTACGTTTCTTTTGCATTCAAATACGTGGTGTAAGTGTCTTAGCACAAGAAACACATGCATTGATTCAAGTGTAACAAATATCTCGTTCCTTCGATATTTTTTTTGTCGTTTTATACCATGCAAATGTGACGGGACAAATACAAAGATTGAGAGGCCCCGGATGCTGCCTTGGTGTATAGTTCCCATGAGGCTTTTTCTTTGAGGGCCAAAAAATTGCATGAATTGTGATAAATATAAGTTACAACCTATGTTACATGTATTTAGGTACGAGTATTGGGCGCGGTTATATATCCCAGCGTCATACTTTTGTAAATTTAAATCTTTGGATCTTGGGATATGTATCCAAAATTAGGTATGGGTACGGGGACGCTTCATATACACATATATATTGTATATTATATAATATTCTCGGATGAGATGTTGTAAATTATGTAGAAATATATTAGAAATTAAATAGGATTAAGAAAAAATATGAAATTTCTGGATCTAATTCATGTGAGAGGCTAAAAATGTTGCTTTACTAGCAAATATGAGTTTTTTTCTTTTTTATATATTGCAACTAACTGAAGGATCCGAGTGTCTAAATTGAGTACAAGTGTCAGGCACATATCCTACACCTTTGCCTATGTCATATCCGGTGGACATATGTACTCTAGGGAAAATAGAATAGTCCATGTAACACATTTACAACAATTTCTAATGCTATTGTTCACTCATTAGGATGTGATGATACCTATGTTACACGGACTCGGGTACGAGTATCGGGTGCGGGTGCGGGTGCGTATCTAGGGGTCAGACATTTCAAAATTAAAATTGAGGATAAGTGGATACGGATCCAAATTTGGATACGGATATACGTTAAATAGTTTTTTTTTTTTTAAAAGATATTTATTATATGAAGATGAATTAAAAAAAAACTAAGGAATAACAGATTTTGATAAAAAAATAACAAATAACAAATAAAATATAAATAATAAATAAAAATTATATAAATTATTTTAGATATAAAATAAATTATATTATATATGATAAAATAAATTTTAGATATAATAATCATATTATTTATGATATATTATATTATTCAATTTTTTTATGAGTGAATATATTATATAATATAAATGTAATCAAAAGGATAAGAAAAGAGAACAGAGAGATGACACAAAAAGAAGAAGTGAGAAGTCAAAGATGAGAAAAGAGAATAGAGAGAAGAGAAGACACAAAAAGAAGAAGAGAGAGAGAGAGAGAGTAGAGGGAGATCGAGAGACGAGAGGAGAGGAAGAGAGGGATCGAGAGACGAGAGAGAAGACAGAGAAGGAGATCGAGCGAAAGTCGAAGTTGTTGAAGCCAGCTACTAGAGGGATCAAAGTCGGCGACCAATGTCTTCGCCCTTTCGAACGGCGACCAGTTTCTTTCTTGCTCTCTCCTCTTTCCTTTCTTTTGCCGCCGTTTGTAAAGAGCCGTGTCTGAGAAAGAAGAGGAGAATCCGACACAGATCCCACACCCGCACCCGTGTCGTGTTGACACGGGTACTTTGCCCCAAAATGCCGAGTCCGGTATAACATAGGATGATACCCCTTTTTCTCCTTGTAAGAGGATGTGTGCTTTTATTTAATAATTTGTGTGCATACTTATATAGTTTTTTGGGGAGGACCCCCGCGGGGAGGAGGGAGGGTGTAGCGACCCTAATTTTCTTAAGTCATTATTTTGTTTTATTATTATGGTTATTATTATCTTATTTTATTTTTGGCTTTATTAATTGTATCGTTACATGAGAATTTAATGTGTTGTTTAGTTAATTTAATGTGATATTTAATTAGTTTAATGTGGTATTTAATTATATATAATTAATCAGAATCTTTATATTTATATATTCATTTATACATAAAAAAGAGATGTATTTATATTTGTTATATATATATATATATATATTATCGTATATTTATATTTATATATTATAATTTGTTGTATAATATTATATAATAGTTTATTAGGTTGTTATGTATGAGATTTAGGTTTATATATATATATATATATATAATATGTAGTCAATTAGGTTATAAGGGAATTAGAAGAAAACAAAGAAAAAAAATAGAGAAGGGTTGTGCTGTGTGCGGCACCGCGAGAGAGAGAGAGAGAGACCAAAACATTATGTGTGTGGCGTGAAGAGGGGAGAAAGGAAGAGAAAGATTAGGTTTAGGGTTTTATTTGGGGGGACTTTATTAATTCTTTGAGTGACTCTTTGATCTTCAAAAATAATTGTGAGTACAAAATCCACTTCCCTCGATTTATATTTAATTCTTTGTTTTTATTTATTTATTTGATATTAGTTTGATTTTGTATTCACACAAAGATGATAGATTGATTTTAATTATTTTGACTAGTGGTGTATGTAAAGTTTAGGGTTCTTAGATAATTGATTGATTTTAATTACTTTGATTAGTTGTGTAGGTAAAGTTTAGGGTTTTTAGATGATTGATTAATTTTAATTATTTTGATTAGACGTATATGTAAGGTTTAAGATTTTTAGATGATTAATTGATTGTAATAATTTTAATTAGTTGGGTATGTAAGGTTTGGGTTTTTTTTTTTAAGGTGATTGATTAATTTTAATTATGTTGATTAGACATATATGTAAGGTTTAGGATTTTTAGATAATTAATTGATTATAATAA